TAATTTTATAAGCCAAATGTGGTGGTGCATGCCTATAATTCCAGCACTTGGGAGGCTGAGGCAGGAGGATTGCCTTGAATTCAAAGCCAGCCTGGGCTATATAGTGAGTTCAGGGCCAGCCTGAATTACAAAGAGACACCCAGCCTCAAAAATGGAGTTGAGAGTGATTTTTTTGTATTTTATTTTTAATATATGTTTGCAATAACTAACAACTACAATCATCTTGGTGTCAGTACATATACATATTGCATCTTGATCATTTTTACACCTATACCTCTCTCCTCTTAGAGTTGAAAATTTTTAAACTCACTAAAAGTGCTCCATAAAGATTAAACAGAGAGGGCTGGGGATTTAGCTCAGTGGTTCCACCACCTGCCTCCTTGCAAACACAAGGTCCTGAGTTTGATCCTGGTACAAAAAAAAAAAAAAAAGACTTAAATTCTCAGAAAATTGAAATATAATTTGAACTTCATTTCTTACTGTTTGATTTGGAAACATTTCCTCTTTCCCCCTATTTTTGAATATTTGACTCTGAAAAAATTATTCAGTAAAAAGTTTTTTTATTTTGGTACCAAGGATCAAATTCAGAATGTTGTGCTTGTGAGGCAGGCATGGTACCACTGAACTAAAGCCCCGGCCCAGCAAATATTAATTATATTCCTACTGTGTTCTCAACAGTATTTTAAGTGCTGGGAATATAGACCTGCTGTAACCCATGATAGTTAGGGAAGTCCTTTCTGGTAATGCAACGTTGGAGGAATAAGCCATCCATGTATCTGGGTGAAAGAACAGTTGCATAGGTTGTGAAGTAGGAACATGTTTGGCATGTTTAAAGGACTTGAGGAAGAAAGTGAAGCTGAAATGTGAATAGGGGAAGTAGTAGAGGAGATAATAAAGAATAGTGGGGCTGAGGATTTAGCCCAGTGGTTCTGCCACCTGCCTTGCAAGCTCAAGGTCCTAAGTTCAATCCCCAGTACCAAAAAAAAAAGTATAGGGAAGGGGTAAATTATAAAAGGTACAATATCTTTACTGTTCTTTGTTCTTTAGTCATTTTAGGTGCAATATTAGCTTTCCTGTTGCTGAGAACCATCGACACTCGCAATTTAAAGGAGGAAAAGTTTAATTAGGCTTATGGTCTTAGGGAGTCAGTCCATGGTAAGCTAGCTCCAAGGTAGGACATTGTGGCAGAAGGGTATGGCAGAGAAAGATGCGTAGTTCCTGGTGGCTGGGAAGCTGAGAAAGGAGCAGTGCCAGAGAGGAAGGGGGTGAGGGATTAGATAGAAGGATTTATCTGGCAGAAGTTTTTCTTTTGGTACTGGGGATCGACTCAAGACCTTGTGCTTGCAGGGCAGGCAGTGGCACCACTGAGCTAAATCCCCGGCCCATAGGCAGAATTTAAAGTACACACTCAAAGAAATGGAATATTGGTTCAAGAGAGAGAGAAAACGAATAGGAATTAAAATCTGGAGTTGGGAATATTTGTGGTTTTGGCCATGGAATTTGTGACTCTATAGAAAGTTGGGGGTTGGTTTATAGGAGAAAAGCAATAGGAATAAAGAAGATTATGGCTTACTTCCAGGTGAAAAGATAGTCCATTTTATAGGAGAAAATCAGGAGCCCAGTCTTTTTTTCTTAAGGTTACAAGCGTTTTACCTTAGCAGCTAAGCTAATTTATGGTTTAAAACGTGTCTTTAAGGGATTTGGGATGTGATAGGCCAGGAAGAAAAGAAGCACAAAGCATCAAGCCTAGGGTGTACAGATACAGATAACCTTGGGTAACTTTGATTGTATCCTAAAGTTGTAGTCTTCTTAAATGTACAATTTTTATTTTTATTGTTGTTGTATTTTTGTTTTTTGTTTTTTGACACAGGGTCTTGCTATATAGTTAGAGTTGCCTTGAACAAAAGTACAATTTTTAAATTATAATTTTGCTTGTTTCTTTTCTTTATCTTTTTTTTTTTTTGCACTACTGGGGGTTGAACTCAGGACCTTGCACTTGCCAGGCAGGCATGGCACCACTGAGCTACATCTGTGGCCCTCAGCATCCTTTGATAGTCAAGATTGTAGTTCCTTATTTTGGGAGACAAGGTTTTGCTGTGTAGTTCAGGCTGGTCTTGATCTCAGTATGTAGCCCAGGCTGAACTCAGACTCATGGCAATCTGCCTGCCTCAGCCTCTCAAGTACTGGGATTACAGGTATGAGCCACCACACCCAGCTTCAAGATTGTAATTTTGATGCCTCCTTTATGTCCTGCTGCTGGTTTGCTATGCAAAATATTACCAGGCACAACTCAAGATGGTCCCCAAAGTGGAAGTGGGGAGGCTTGACTCACTCCATACATGGGACAGGCTGCAGGCTCACTGACTTCCATCATAGAAAAAGAATTTTCGGGACATGTCAGTGAGAGACATAAAGGATTTATTAGGCAGAATTTAAAGTACATAATCGCCAGGGATTTAGCTCAGTGGCGCCACACCTGCCTCAAAAGTGCAAGGTCCTGAATTTGATCCCCAGTACTGGGGAAATAAAAGTAACGTACTCAAAGGAAAAGAGTGCAGTCCCTTGACAGAGAGGTACATTATAGTCTGGAGCTAAGAGTATGTGTTTTGGTGGAGGAAATTGTTTGTAAAACTCTTTCACTTTGCATGCCTATACAACTAGCATCACATGAATGAAACAAAAATCTTTTGCCAGTTCAAATGGTGGCCAGACCACCTTGGACCATGGCTATAGTGGCCTCTGATTGTATGGATACCTGAACAGGATGAAATGAATTGGAGGGAGCCAATTTCCTAGAAGTTCCTTCTTGAGCAGGAGTCCTAAAGATCCTATTCTCAAATGAAATGGAGACAGATTTTTTGCCAGAGTAAACATACATGGCTTTCATTCCAGTTGACAGTTAAGTCCTTATTCCTAACTGAAATGTCCTGAGCCTAGCCTGTAATGTCTACACTCTGGTTTTCTGGCTTCCGCTGTAATCGTGATCACCATAATCACCCTTCAGCCTATGCTCATAGTATTCTAGGGCTTACCTAGCCCACATCTCACCTTGCCAGACTCCACTTATAAACCAGTTCCAAGTATTTCTAAAGCACATGGTCAGGTGCAGTCACAGCAGTGCCTCCACTCCTAGTGTCAGTTTTCAGTATTAGCTTTCCTGTCACTGAGACAAAATAACCAACACTCACAACTAAAAGAGATTTGATATGGATCACGGTTTGAGGTGCCAAGGCAGAAATATGGTAGAAGGGCAGAGCAGAGCAACAGTGTTTATAGTTCATGGGAGTTGGGAAGCATACCAAGGGAAAAGTGCCACATAGAGGGTTGAGAGAACCAATGTACCCAAGGTCACACCTCCATGACACAGCCAGGAACACCCAGAAATGCACTTTCCTGAGCCCTGTGTCAGGTCCCAAGCCAATCAAGTTGAAGCTATTAAGCTTAACCACCACGAGTGCCTAGACAGGTGGTGGCAAAACCTATCTCATGCAGGCCACAGCAGACTTTGTATCATTGAAAGCTACAAAAAGGTTCATCACTGGTCTAGACCATTTGCCAACAAACACAATAGTACTTATAAAATTAAGTCATTCAGTATTTATTGAATTCCTTGGGCAGATTTACATGTTTTCTTCTATAGTCTTAGATTATACTGTTATTTATTCCAAAGTAGCCAATATTAAGAGTACATTTGTCTATGCCTGTGTCTTTCTTTAGAATCATATGGTAACTTCATAATTTGCCCAGTGTCTGGGAGAGGGTGCTGAGTGATACTGTAGAAGGAGTGGGTTTAGGGGAAAGACGATGAATTGTTTTTCACATGTTAATGTGAAGTAACTGTACAGCCAGATAGCCAAGCAGATGTGTTCATTACGCATCTAGGGAGAAAGATCCAGGATGAACGTAGATATTTGAAAGTTATTAGTGTATAGATAAGTGACAGTTGAAGCTTTTATAGGTAAAATCACCTGGGGGAATATAGAGAGAGAAGTTGGTCAAAGACAGCACTGTATAATGCCAGCTGCCCCTCCCCCGTCCGGTACCCGAGATCAAACTCAGGACCTTGGGCTTGCAAGGCAGGCGTGGTGCCTCTGAGCTAAATCCCTGGTCCTGTAACACCAGCTTTTAAAGTTCATGTAGAAGAAAAGCAACTCTAAAGAGGCCCAAAAAGAATGTTGAAGAAGGGCTATTTTTTAAAAAAAAAGTAATAGGGCTAGGTATGGTACTATGTGGCTTTAATTCCAGCTACTAGGGAGGCTGAGTCAAGACAAGTGCAAGGCCAGCCTGGGCAATTTGTGAAACCCTGTCTCAAAATAAAAATAACAAGGACCAAGATGTACCTCCGTGGTGAAGCAAAGCATCCCTAGGTTCAAGCCCCAGGGCCGAAAGACCAAATTAAAAAAAGGAAAATCAGGAAGAGGAGTTTCATGGTAACAAAGTGAGGAATTTACAGAGATGAGCATGTAAAATGTGACAGAGTTTCAAGTAAGATCAAGACTGAAGCTGTAGTAAATATGAGGCAACGCAAGGGGCCTTTTTTTTTTTTTTTTTTTTTTAGACATGGTCTGACTATGTAGATCAGACTTTGAACTATGTAATTCGGGCTGGTCTTTACTCATTGCAATCCTCCTGCCTCGGCCTGCTGAGTGCTAGGATTACAGGCGTGTGCTGCCATGCTCAACTGTGGGCCACTTTATCAGTTAAAACTGTGGCTTTAGGCCAGATTTGGTGGCACAAGCCTGCAATCCCAGCACTCTGGAATGCTGGGGTAGGAAGATTAATGAATTAAGCCTAACCTCGACGATTTAGGGTTTTAATGAGACCTTGTCTTAAATGAAAAAAAAGGGGGTCTGGGGATGTAGCTCAGGATGATGGACCTGGGTTCAGTCCTAAGTATTAGGAAGAAAAAAAAAAAAAAAGAGATGTAGCACAGCATTGCCTGGGTTTAATCCCCAGTACTACCGGCAAAACAAAACTAAAACTCAGCATGGTTTTGAAGAAGAAAAACAAGGTAGAAGTTTGAAAAGACCTAAAGATTACTTTTTGTTTCGTTTGAGATAGGATCTTCTATGTAGCCCCGGCTTGGCTTGGATTCAGGATGATCCCCCTGCCTTGGTTTCCCAAGAGCTGGGATTACAGTTGTGTGCCAAAACACCCAGCTTTCAGTTATGTTTCTCAGAGAAAAAAATAATTGTTTGAGACAGTCCTATTATGTAGTTCAGGCTGGCCTTGGACTGGTTATGTAACCCAGGCTGGCCTCAAACTCACAGCAATCTTCCTGCCTCAGCCTCCCTAGTGCTAGAACTACAGGCATTCACCACCATGACTGGCTAAAATAATTTTTTCTTAGCTCTTAGATACAGTATATTTTGAGAGGGAAACATTTTTAATTGTATTACATGTAAACTGATATTTGAATAGCTTCATACTTCTGCTGCAATTCAACTGAAGTGGGTACTGGGTAGTATGAAACATAGTGACCTGGAAGTTTCTTTGTTTTTTTTTTTTGGTACCAGGGATCGAACTCAGAACCTTGTGCTTGGGAGGCAGGCAGCGGCACCACTAAACTTAATCCCTGGCCCTAGAAGTATTTTTTGGTTTGTTTAGTTGATTGGTTGGTTGTTTTTTTTTTTTGAGACAGGGTTTCACTATGTAGTTGAGACTGACCTGGAACTCACTATGTAGTCCAGGCTGGTCTTCAATTCACAGCAATCCTCCTGCCTCAGCTTCCCAAATGCTGGGGTTACAGGCATGTGCCACCACACCCGGCCCCTAAAAGTATTCAAAAAATTTTTTTTGTTTTGTTTTGTTTTGTTTTGAGACAGGGTCTCACTATGTATTTCAGACTGACCTAGACCTCACTATGTAGCCCTGGCTGGTCTCGAATTTGCAGAGATTCTCCTGCCTCATCCTCCCAAGTGCTGGGATTACAGGCGTGCACCACCATACCCAGCTTTAAAAAAAAATTTTTTTTTTGTTGTTTGAGACAGGGTCTCACTATGTAGTTGAGACTGACCTGGAACTCAGTATGTAGCCCCCTAGAAGTATTTTTTGATGGCAAATAGAAAACATTTTTGGCTGGACATGGTGGTTCATGCCTGTAATCCCACAACTGGAGAGGCTGAGGCAGGAGGATCAGTGTGCATTGGAAGCCAGCTACATAATGAGCTACATAATGAGTTCAAGTCCAGCCTGAGCTATACAATGAGACCCTATCTCAAAAACAAAACAAAACATTTTGGAATTAAATATTTTCTATAGATAATAGAAAATCAACCAGCGATTTCAGAGCCATGGTGGAATTCTGGGTGTGCTGCTGCATGGGAGATCTGCTACTCCCTCCACCACTATCGTGTCCAGCTCTGCAGCCCAGGGTCCTGCTCTGGCGTGGCTGAGCTGTCCCTGTCCCGTCGGACTCCTGTGTTCGAGTTTACCTGGAGAAAGAGCTTTGCAGCGGAATGAATTTAAACAGCACAATCATCTCTCTCCCTGCACATGTTCCTCCTGACTCCTGGGGTGACTAAGTGACCCCCAGACTTTTGATAGAGGGGTACATATTTAGGTTTTCACTTTCCAAAGGAAACGCAAGACATTTTGTTAGTTTTTGTCTGTATGTTTGTTATTTTCTTCAGCAACTCACCTTTCCATTTTACCCAACTCTGGCTACGTGATTTCCTTAAGCGAAACTTCAGATGTGCACCTGCGATCTGTCTCTGTTCCCCCAAATTGCACCATATATGTTGTAGATCCTGGATTTTTAGGTATTTTTAGATAATAGTTTCTAAAAGTTGAATAATTTTACTGATTTCACTAAAACGAGTGTATTTAAAAACTAGAATCCTCAAGTTCTCCGCTTTCGTTGGGGACTTAACTTTGGATGCAGCCAACTTAACATGTTTGCTGACTGCTTATTCTGGTTAGCTGTCTGCAAAACTGAAGCAGATTGTAAAACAGTGTGAAAATACAAGTAATGCAGTCTTTGTTAGGAAAAGAAACTAAACAAGGAAAAGACAGTCTTAATGTCCTTAGACCACGAAACAGTCTGACTGAAAGACACTAAGACTGCCTGACACATTAGAAATGAGCCTGAATTGTGGTTAGTTTTTGCCTACACATATGTTTCTTTATAAGTGATATGAACTAAATTAAACCAAGATTTTGCTGGGTGTGGTGGCACATGCCTGTAATCCCAGCACTTGGGAGGCTAAGGCAGGGAGATCCCAGTGTGTTTGAAGCTAACCTGGGCTCCATAGTAAGATCCAGTTTCAAAATAAATAAGCAAATAAATAATTAAGCAGAAACAAATATCTGCTTTGGAAATCATCTCTATATTACCCAGTTTTGCTCTTCAAATGGCTTTTTTTGTTTGTTTGGTTTTGTTTTTTGGTTTTTTGAGACAGGGTCTCACTATGTAGTTCAGACTGCTCTGGAACTCATTGTGTATTCCAGGCTGGTTTTGAACTCACAGTGATCCTCCTGCCTCAGCCTCCCGAGTGCTGGGATTACACGCATGCGCCACCACGCCCAGCTCTAAAGTTGGTATTTTTTACATCACTAGAAAAATGCTGTGTCTTCTAATGTTTGTTTCTTGGTTCCATGTAGGTTTCACTGTCTCCCCTGGAGACCGATGGAGTCTGGAGGTGGGACAGGTGTACCCTATTTCAGTAGAGGTGTTTGATAAAAGCAGCATGAAGGTCTACATTTCAGATGTGAGTCTTGTGTTGTCCTAGCTCCTTGTGTGGACAGCTTCTCAAGTGGGCCATCTTCCTGGTTAGAAGGTCTTCTTCTTTTGTACTGAGCTTAACATCAGAAATGAAGTTGCTAGTTTTTTGTTATTATTAACTGGTTCTATCTTTGAGGAGCACTGAATCAGAAGTAAAAGATGGTGGAATTACAGCAGGGTGGAGAGCAGCAGTGGTGCTGCTCCGGGGGGTCCCCTGCAAGGCACCTCAGAGGTGGTGAACATGGCACTAATGTATAACAGCCAGTGTACAGTGCTGCGTTCACTCACGTTCTGCAGGGCAGGCTGGCTCTTTCTTTCTTTTCTTTCTTCCTGGTACTGGGTATCAAACTCAGGACCTTGTGCTTGCGAGGCAGGCACAAGCACCACTGAGCTAAATCCCTGGCCCTTTGTTTTTGTTTTTGAGACAAGATCTTGCTATATAGTCCAGGCTGGCTTTGAACTCACTGTGTAGCCCACCCTGACCTCCAGCTCACAGAAATTCTCCTGCCTCAGCCACAGGATTGCTGGGTTTACTGGCATGTGCCACCACACCCAGCTTGCTTGTTTCTCTTATTCTTCCTTTTTTTCTCCTGAAAATTAACAACCTATAGAATACCACAAATTATTGTAAATTTACGTAAGTTCTGGCTCCTTCTGTTCCTGATACTTTTTATTAACAGATCTTTCAAAAACTAGTACCAATTTAGGGGCCAGGGATTTAGCTCAGTGGTGCTGCCATCTGCATCGCAAGCACAAGGTCCTGAGTTCGATCCCTGGTACCAAAAAAAAAAAAAACAAAAAAAAACAAAAACAAAAAACTAGTACCAATTTACATCTTGCTAACTCAGCCCTTCCACAAGGGAAAGCAAAGGATTTTATCTTCGTTGCTTTATCTGTTGGTTGCATAACTATAGTCTCATATATGCTCTGGAATTGAGATGGCTTTAGGGAAAGAATGTAACTTCAGCTTTGGTTGCTGTTGGGCTAATTTCAGAACCTTAGAATTACTTGTGACTTTCTAACGGAGTACTTTGAAGAACAGCTAACGACTGTTAATGGATCTTACCATGTCGTAAAAGTCCTGAAAGCTGGTGTGGTTAACATAAATGCATCTCTGAATTCCATTATTCACCAGGTAGGAATTAATCTTCATAAACTAAAATTACTGAAGAAGTTGCACTGACCTGATTTACGCAGATATGATATCTACTACTCTTATCTTGTACAAACTAAGAAAGAAACTGATAAATGGTAATCTTGGTAGTTTAACTTCTACAAATTTTCCATTCCACACTTTATTGCTGTACATAATTTGCATTTGTGGTCATTGTGTATATCATTTGCAAATCCCTTATATTCTTATTTCAAACTGGGTGTGGTGGCACACGCCTGTAATCCCAGTACTTAGGAGGCCAAGCTGGGCATGGTGGCTCATGCCTGTAATCCCAGCACTTGGGAGGCTGAGGCAGGAGGATCGCTGTGAGTTCGAGACCATCCTGGGCTACATAGTGAGTTCCAGGTCAGTCTCCACTACATAGTGAGACCCTGTCTCAAAAAAACAAAAACAAAAACAACCAATACTTAGGAGGCCAAAGCAGGATTGCCCCACTGTTCCAGGCCAGCCTGGGCTATAGAGTGAGTTCAAGACCAGCCTGAACTACACCGTGAGGCCCTGTCTTTAAAAGAAAAATATTTCATATGCATAATTCCTGTCAGATACACCTCAGATTCCTTTTATTCTAAAATTCCACAGTTAGCTGGACATAGCAGCCTGTGCCTCTCTGATCCCAGCTGACTCAGGAGGATTGTTTTTCTTTTTCTTTCCTTTTTTTTGGGGGGGGTTGTTTGTTTGTTTGTTTGTTTGTTTGTTTGTTTGAAACAGGATCTCACTATGTAGTTGAGATTGACCTGGAACTCACTATGTAGTCCAGGCTGGTCTCTAAGTCACAGTGATCCTCCTGCCTCAGCCTCTTGAGTGCTGGAATTACAGCCATGTGCCACCGCACCTGGCTTATAAATTTCTTCTTGATGGAGAACTTTGAAATAAAACCCAAGGTCTTCTAAATAATATAAAGGTCTGACAACAGTTAACTCGAAAAGATAGTGGCTGTTATGTTTAAATTTTGCTTTTTCTTTTCTGTTTTTTTTTTTTTTTTTTTTTTTTAGACAAGAGTCTTGCTTTGTAGTTCAGGCAGGCCTTAAAATGACTGTAATTTAGGCTTGGCCTTGGACTTCCGGCGATCCTCCTGCCTCAGCCTCCCAAGTGCTGAGATTACAGGTGTGTGCACTGTGCCAGCTAGATTGTGCTTTGTAGTCACCTGTAGTCTCAGTGAGCTAAAATGTTCTTTTTTTCAACTGAAAGGCTTATTTTTAGTTTATGATTTAGCTATTTTAAGAGAGTGAGGAGAAGCTGGGTACAGCAGTACACATCTGTAACCCTAGCTACTTGGGAGGCTGAGGCAGGTGGATCACAAGTTTGAGGCCATCCTGGAAATTTAGTGAGATCCTGTTTCAAAAATGAAATGAAGAAGAAGAAAAGGGCCAGGGATTTAGCTCAGTGGTTCTGCCGCCTGCCTCGCAAGTGCAAGGACCTAAGTTCAATCCCCAGTACCAAAAAAACAAAACAAAACAAAACAAAAAAACAAACAAACAAACAAACAAAAACCAAAAGGAAAAAAGAAGGCATGGCTGGATTGTAGCTCCATGGTAGAGCACTTGCCTAACATTTGGGAGGCCCTGGGTTCACACAATAGTACCATATACATACATACATACATACCTGAGACTATCAGGGCCATCACTTCAGGTGTGATACTATTGATAAATATTTCAGGGTTTCTTAAAAGAAAGGTGAATAAAGGATAGATAGATATATTGATTGACTGATTTTGCCTTCAAAGAGAAAATGTCAGCATAACCATGTGAGGACTTCACTGTACCTGTACAGATTTCCACTCATACCTTATGCTTTTGTTTGTTTGCTTATTTGTTTGTTTTTTGGTACTGGAGATCGAGCTTGGGTCCTTGTACTTGCGAGGCAGGTGCCGGAACCACTGAGCCAAATCCCTAGCCCTACCTTATGCTTATTTTTAAGTATGAGTGGAAGTCTTACCCCAGCACTTTTAAATGTTTTCTTTTCTTCTGAGTAACTTGAATTATTCCTTTGCATTTATAGACAGTTTATGTTTTTGTTTTGTTCATTTGTTTGTTTTGAGACAGACTCTCACTGTGTAGTCAAGAGACTCACTATGTAGCTCAGGCTGGCCTTGAACTCACAGTGATCCTCCTGCCTCAGCCTCCTGAGTGCTGGGATGACAGGTGTACACCACCACACCCAGCACATTTATAGTTTATATTCTTTATTTTTGTTTTTTTGAGACAGTTGAGACTGACCTGGAACTCACTATGTAGCCCAGGCTTATCTCGAACTCACAGTGATCCTCCTGCCTCAGCCTCCTGAATGCTGGGATTACAGGCGTGCGCCACCATGCCCGGCCACATTTATAATTTATGAATTTAACTGATGGATATCCAAGGGTGTTTCCAGAATTATAATTTTCTTCCTATGTTACTAAAACTTTTATTTCATGAAATTTTAAATTATTTCTCCTGATAGTAGTATTTAGCTTCAACAAAATCTTATTATTATTGAGCCATAGTAGTTGTGCTTCTTTAATGAATATGAATATGTATTTTATAGATAGAAAATGCTTGAAATATTTATTAGGGGCCGGGGACTTAGCTCAGGGGTTCCACAGCTGCCTGGCTAGTGCGAGGCCCTGAGTTCAATCCGTGGCACTTTGCTAATGTTTTCAGTGTATATGACTGTACATCATGAAAACAGTGCCTGTGGAATCTATTTTGTCCTTCTTTCTTGTTTCTGTAGAACAACAGTATCCGACCTGTCAAACCTCAGATTCAGCACCAGCAAGAAGTGGTTATTTATTTCCCCATCAGGCTCACACCTCGCTCCCTGGCATTTCCTCGTCACCCCCGGGGAGTGCTGTACCACTATCAAGTGCAGGTACAGTGTCCTAGTGAATTCGCAAAGGCAAAGGGCAGTGTCTTTGATAGGTTACTTTATTGAAATCTGGTTAATGTCACATTTTATTTTCCCCAGTCTTTTGTTTTAGTACCGGAGATCAAACTCGGGACCTTGCACTTGTGAGGCAAGTGCGGCGCCACTGAGCTAAGTCCCTGGCCCTCCCCTGTCATTTTATGGGAGGGGCAGAGGGGATAAGACAGGGTCTCTTGTTGAGGCTGGCCTCAGACACGCGGTGGTCTTCCTGCCTCAGTCTCCTAAGTGCTGGGGTTGCAGGTGTGAGCCACCACGCCTGGCCTCTCTTTACCTCCAGTCTTCGTTATAAGTCAGTTTTTGGTAACCACCAAGTCATGCTCTTAAATGCTATCATCTCTAACATATGTCTGTCTTCCATATATCCTTTCCTTGTGAGTTTTGTTGAGTTGCCTTGTACTGTGTTGTTTTTCTTCTGTGGTAGTACTGGGGATCAAACCAACAGGCACCCTACCACTGAAATATGTTCCCAGCCCCCCTTTTTTTTTTTTAATCTTGCTAAATCCCCCAGGGGAAACTCAAACTTTCAATTATCCAGCTGGCATGGTGGTGCATTCCTGTAATCCCAGCACTTGGGAGGCTGAGGCAGGAAGGATCCCTGCAAGTTTGAGGCCAACCTGGGCTACATAGAGAGACCTTGTCTCAAAAAAAACAAAGCAAAACTTTCAATCCTCATGTCTCAGCCTCCCAGAACGATGGGATTACAGGCATAAAACATGCCCAGCTCCTTCCACTGCAGCCCCTCCTTTTTGTTTTTTGAACAAATTAATACAGATCATTTTTATTTTTATCAGTACATGTGTGTAGTACATAATATTTGCATTCCCCGTGGGAACTTGGTACATTCACACAGCGCATCTTAATTCCTTTTCTTGTCCCTTTTCCCGCCCTTCCCTCCCCTCTCATCCCCCAGGTCGTCTTCCTCTTTCAGTACATGTTTGTAGTACGTAATGTTTCTTCCCCCAAAATTAAAGGCATCATACCACAGTGACACATAGCAGCACGATTCATAATAGCTTAACTTTGGAAATGGCCTCTATGTTCACCAACAGATGAATGGGTAAAGATGAATGCTATTTACACATAATGGAATATTAATCTATCCAAACTTGAGTCTGTTGTAAAAAAAATAGATATACCTTGAGGCTACAAGAAGTAAGGTAACTTAGATACATAGGCTTAGTTATCACATGGTTTCTCTGATATGGAAACCTACAGTACCCTCCTTTTCGTTGTTTGATTTTTTCTTTTTTTCTGTACCGACAATTGAACTCGGGACCTTGTGCATGTCAGGCAAGTGCGGCACTGCTGTTGTTTAATTTTTAAGACGAGGTCTCTCTGGTAGTTCAGGCGGGTTTTGAATTCACTATGCAGCAAGGCTGGCCTCGAACTTCCGGTTGTCTTCCTTCCTCAACCTCCCAAGTAAAAGGATACAGGCATGCACCACCACACCCAGCTACTTGGCTCTTTCTTCTTTCTTTTTTTTAACCAGGGATTGAACTCAGGACTCAGCTACTTGGCAATATATCATGTGTACAGAAATAACCTGTTATGGGGCCAGGGATTTAGCTCAATAGTGTCGCACCTGCCTCACAAGTGCAGGGTCCTGAGTTCGATTCCGGGTACCAACAGAACCAAAAATAACCTGTTATGTAGTTTTATTTTTAAACCTCATTTCACCACTCAAGTTTTCCACTTTGACTTAAATTCCATTTTCCTCCTATATAATTGGTTGTGCTTTCTCCCAGGTAGAGGGTGGTAGTGGCAACTTCACCTGGACTTCTTCTAATGATACAGTGGCCATTGTAACCACCAAAGGAGTAGTGACTACAGGTCGAGTCAGGGGGAACAGCACAGTATGGGCCCGAGATGTACAAAATCCCTATCGCTATGGGGAGATGAAGGTAAATGATCTCCAGAAAAACGCTTTACTGCTGAGACACTGCTAAATGTCTAGGTGTTTAAATCCAAGTACCTTACTGTGTTTGGAAATATTTCTGGTCTATGTAAAATATTTCTGTTCAATGGACCAGGGATTTAGCTCAGTGGTGCCACTGCCTGCCTGGTAAGCACAAGGTCCTGGATTTGACTCCTGGTACAAAAAAAAAAAAAAGTTGCTCAAATTCATTCTGAATGTATGTATTACCTAAACATTTCTGAACCTGGGTTAAATTCTGCTTCACTTAATAACCATTTACTAGGGCCGGGGATTTAGCTTAGTGGTACCGCCACCTGCCTGCAAGCACAAAATCCTGAGTTCAATCCCCAGTACCAAAAAAAATTTTACTAACCTGGGCGTGGTGGTGCGTGCCTATAATTCCAGCCCTCAGGAGGCTGAGGCAGGAGGATTGCTTGGAGTTCAAGGCCAGCCTGGGCTATATAACACTATCCTGTTTTAAAAACAATAGTAACAATTTACTTAACATCAGTGTCTGTTTTTTGCTCTCTAAAATGAAGATAAAGTTAGCATCTAGTTCAATAATCTGATAATAACATGGCTGGGCGTGGTGGCGCACACCTGTAATCTCAGCACTCAGGAGGCTGAGGCAGGAGGATCACTGAGTTTGAGACCAGCCTGGGCTACATAGTGAATTCCAGGTCAGTCTCAACTACATAGTGAGGCCCTGTCTCAAAAAACCAAAAACAGCAACAACAACAACAACAACAAAAATCTGATAAATAGCTTGTCAGAATAAAACAAGATAAGTCAAACCTGTCAGAGTATAATGTCTAAACAGGTGTTTGACATATTCAGTACTTACTGATAGTTGTTTTTCTTCTAATTATTATATATACAAATTTAAACCTTTATATACCTTTATTTGTAGTCTCACATTTTCATTTGTTAATCTATTTCTATAAAACTGAAGATACCTCTTTATTTTATGACTGTCTCACTATTTTTCTCCCACTTTCAATATAATGTTGCTTTTCACTGCAGGACTCAGCATTTTTCCATTACTCAGCAATCATTTATTGAATAGTCTCTAGGTACTTAATACTACACTAGATGTCATAGGGTATCAAAAAATGTGTAATGTGCTGTCCCTAGTTTAAAGAAGCTGAAGTCTAGGCAGAAAGATATATTCACATGAAAAGTTCAATAACATGTTAAGGAAGTGATGTGTAAAGTATTTTTTATTTATATATATATATATTTTTTTGTTTGTTTGTTTGTTTTTTGTTTGTTTGTTTGTTTGTTTTTGAGACGGGGTCTCAGTATGTAGTTGAGACTGACCTGGAACTCACTATGTAGTTCAGGCTGGTCTCAAACTCACAGCAATCCTCCTGCCTCAGCCTCCTGAGTGCTGGGCGTGCGCCACCACACCCAGCCTATTTTATTTTATTTTTTAAAATTATTTGTTTGTTTGTTTGTTTATTTATTGAGACAGGGTCTCACTGTGTAATCTAGGCTAGCCTTAAACTTGCCAGGTAGCCCAGACTGGCCTCTAACTCATGGTTTCCTCCTGCCTCAGCCTCCTGAGTGCTGGGATTGATTACAGATGTGCACCACCATGCCTGGCGGTATGAAGTATTTTATTTTATTTTTTTGAGACAGGGTCTCAGTATGTAGTTGAGACTGACCTGGAACTCACTATGTAGCCCAGGCTGGTCTTGAACTCACAGCGATCCACCTGCCTCAGCCCCCCGAGAGCTGGGATTACAGGCGTGCGCCACCACGCCCAGCTTATTTTTTTTAATATGAAGTATTTTAAAGGAGTATATGACTGCTAGCTGCTTGAGTTGTATAGAAAAATACTAATTGTTTATAAAGGAAGAATCTTTGTGGATGGGACCACAGTAGTTAGAGCCCATCACGAAAGGGTGAGAATTAGAATTAAACTTTAGAAGAAGGAAGCAAAGCAAGGCCTAGGGACCAAACGTGGACCCCACTGCCTTGTGGGAAGGGAAGTTGGTCCGCGCTCCCCTTCACTGTCTGTGGCTGCTTTCGGGTCTGCCCTGCAGAGCTGAGCAGTAGCTACAGAAACCTTGTAGCCTGCATAGCTGCACTTACTCTCTGGCCTTTGGAGAAAGCATTTGCCATCCCCTACTGTACATGCTGGAGAGCAGCACTGGTTTTTATGCAGGCCGCTAATACGGCGAAGCCTGGGTTTAGAAAGATATCTAATTATTTTTATGTCAGACAAGAACAATGGCAGTAAAATAAACAAGGTAGCGGCTGGTGCTACAACTAGTAGACGAGTGAACTGCGAGGGGTGAGTAAAGGTTAGGGTTAGTCAGGGGCAGCGCGTGTAGCTCAGTGTAGAGAGCTGCGCAGCAGATGGACCTTGGGTTCAATCCCCCATGCTACAAAAGACAAACAAACAAACAAATCCCGGTTAATCCTAAACTAGTGAAATGGTATTGAGAATAAACAGAAGTAGACAAATCAAGAGCTTGGTTTGGTTTGGTTTTATAGGTAGATTTAATCAGATTTGATGCCCTCTTGAGTGAGGGAGAGTGAAGAATTTAAAGCTAGAGATGATGACGTTTCTACAGGATGGAGGGAAAATACAAGAAGGCATAGTGGTGCATATCTGTCATCCCAGCACTCCGGGAAGCTGAGGCAGGAGGATCACAAGTTTGAGCCCAGCCTGGGCAACTTAGCAACTTAGTGAATATACCTGTCTCAGAATAAGAAATAAAAAGGACTGGGGTTGCAGCTCAGTGGGAAGGCCCTGGGTTCAGTTCCCAGTACAAGAGAGACAGAGACAGAGACAGCATGAGCTGAGGGGCAGCTCAGTGATGCTGGGTTCAGTGTCCAACACTGCAAAAAAAAAAAGGGGGCCGGGAATGTAGCTCAGTGGTGCCACCACCTGCCTCAGAAGTGCAAGGTCCCAAATTTGATCCCTGGAACCAAAAACAAAACAAAACAAAGAAAGTGGAGCTGCAAAACTGATGAATTCAGTTTTAGATATATTTAATGTGATTGTGGAGTATCTAGTTTGTAATTGGAAATAAAGGTCTTAAATTCAGCTAAAAGATTAAAGCAGCCAGACGTTGTGGTGTACGCCTGTTATCCCAGTACTTGGGAGGCTGAGGCAGGAGGAGCACCGTGAGTTTGAAAGCCAACCTGAAGGGCATAGTAAGACCCTGTCTCAAAAAAGAAAAAGAGAGGGAGAGGGAGAGAAAGATTAAGGGTGATGAATTATCAGTGTTTGGTTGGTCAGTGAAGTTTTAGAAGTGATAAGATTTCCCAGGAAGATGAGATAGGATCAGACGAGAAGACAGATTCTGTGTAATGTGTCATTTTAAGGGACAAACAGAGGCAAAAAATTAGCAGAAGAAACATGGAAAGTGACAAAAATGACAAAAAATAAAATACATTGTTTTAAAAAGTGCATAGGAAAAAAAAAGAGTGGGTAGGGTTAGGGATGGCCCAGGTGTAGAGGGCATGCTCAGTGTGGGCAGTGCCCGTGCTGTTTCTAGTACTCCCCTAGTATAGAGAAAGCGTGCTTAAATACACTGGTCTTTGTGGGTCACACACTGTCTAACTCACATTCTTTTTGTTGTAGTGGTTGTTAATTTTACAATTCTTTAAAAACCATCAAATGGCTCACTGTCACTGTGCCTGCCTCGCGAATGCAAGGTCGCGAGTTTGATCCCTGGTACCAAAAAAAAACAAAAATGAAAACAAAACACAAAACCCTGAAAGCCAGAACTGGGCGTACAGTACAGCTCCGTGATAGGATGTTTGCTTCATGTGGGAAGGCCTTGAGTTCTGTTTTGTCTTATTTTATTTTTGGGGTTTCTTTTAAGAGAATGTGTCTCTCTGTATCCCAGGCTGGCCTCAAACTCATGACTATCCTCCTGCCTCAACCTCTGGGGTGCTGGCATTACAGGCGCACGCTACCACACCTGGCTTAAGGCCCTGGGTTCAATCCCCAGCACCACCAAGAAAAAACATAAACCATACTTGACTTTGTATGCACATGCAAGTACAGGCCATCATTTGCCAGATCATCATCTGCCTGGCATCAGATGACTTAACGGATTGAGGAAGGAAAAGAGAGACATATTCAGCACCTATTGTGTGTGATTAGGAAAATAGTGTGCAATCCTTCTTCAGGGCGCATGGGGTTGGCTCTGGACCCCTCAGATACAAAAATCTGTGATGTTCTAGGTCCTTACATAAAATGGCACAGTAGTTTGTGTCAGCTCATTCATTGTTTGGGTGTAAAACAGGTTTGCCAGATGCTGCTTAGAAACTTGAAAAGAGCAGTTTGCACAGCTCAGGGTAGAGGTCTAACATTAAGGCTCAGAGTTGGGAGGAATCTTACAAAGGAAGGCATCCCCTAGGTCATACCTGTCTCCTGACAATCTTCTGTCCCGTTTTGTTGTCTGATTTCTTCTTTTTTTGTTACTGGGGTTTGAACTTGGGATCTTGCACTTGTGAGGCAGGCAGCAGAACCACTGATTTCCCCTGCACTGATTTCTTTTTTTTTTAATGTTCAAGAGGAAGAATTTCGTTCATGTCTTATCTCTTAGACCTGAACTAAAAGGGTTTATATTTATGTTCTCAAATGAAACGTGTTTCTAGTAATCATGTTTATTACATGATTCCTGTAGTAGTCACAAGTAATATAATCTTATATGTAAACTAGAATTTTAGGATTATTTGAACCTAACCAGTCAGTTCATGTTAATGATTGATTAGAATCAATCAGTATGCATAAAGTAGAACGTTGAATATTTATCCAAAACCCTTCCTTTTAAGGCAAAAGAACATAAAATACAACCCTTAGTTGTTACTATTTTACCAGTTCATTTGCTGAAAACAGAGTTCTTTGAGAATTCGTCAGAATTCTCTAAAGCCTCCTGTTACAGCTTTTCCACTTACTCCTGTTTATTATTATTCTACAGCATTGCAAGATCTTGAAGATTATTCTGTTTTTTAGTTGCCTAGTCTTAAATTGTATTGAGTAGTTTGCATTGATTTTATTAGATTCTTATAATTCTTTGAAAATTACTGGTGGATGGGCACCATGCATGCTATCGAGGTCTGTCTGGGGTCTCCTAGGAGTGATTTAAGAACGTCCGTTCCATTACTTTCATAGAGCAAAAAATTAGTAATTCCAACATGTTGGCTTCGCAGCTCCTAAATGTGACACAGTTTTATTGTCAATTCTGATAGTGTGATTTTATGCTATAAAAGCATCATTTATGCTTTGACTAATTTTTATTTGTTATGAATATTTGAGCAGCTCACTAGCCCAGTCCTCGTCTGTGTTAGATAAAAGTGCTTACTGTATTTTCTACCACATAATTTGAGAGCAGCATTTTTTTTGCTAGTATTTTTTTTTGGTACCGGGGATTGAACTCAGGTCATTGCACTTGCAAGGCAGGCAGTGGAACCACTGAGCTAAATCCCCAGCCCTTTTGCTAGTATTTTTTAAATTGTTTGTTACTATAAAATTTCAGGTCCTAAGTCCTAAGGTATTCTGATTAAATTGGTGAATACCATTCCAGACCCTATTTTCTGCAATTCTTAAAGAGAATAGAGGTTATGTTTGTCTTTGCTTTAAAAAAATAAAATAAATGGCACAGTAGTTGCATATAACCTGTGCACTCTTTCCACATACTTTAAATCATCTCTAGGCTAATTATACCTGTTGCCACGTAAATGCTCTGGGGATATTTGTTATGCTGTACTGTTTAGGTGATAATGATTAGGGAAAAGGTCTGTACATGTTCAGCACAGGTGCAGTGTTTTTTCGAATATTTTCATCTATCATTTGGTTGCATCCTTAAGAGTAAAACCCAAGGATCTGGAAGACCGACCAACTGTAGAAAATATGACTAACACATGTGTGTGTTTTTGTTTTTTGGGTTTTTTTTTGGGGGGTGGTACCGGGGATTGAACTCAGGTCCTCGGGTCCTGCGCTTGCAAGGCAGGCCGACGAACCGCTGAGCTAAATCCCCGGCCCCACACGTGTTTTTTATATGAAACACATTACATATATATGCTTGCATGTTCATGTGTAGGCATTTAAATGTTTAAGAGGTGTTCTCCTAGGACTTCCCTAAAAGGTTCGTTGCTTCCCCAGGTGTATGTCCTAAAGCCAGACAAGATGGAACTGTTACCGCTCCGTGCTGACGTGGAGATTGGCCAGACTGTCGAAGTCCCCATTGCAATGTATCATGTGAATGAGACCAAACAGGCTGTGGCATTCACAGACTGCTCTCATTTTCCGGTGGGTCTTGATGTGGATAAGCAAGGAGTCTTCACTCTCCTTGAAGGAGGTAAGAGTAGTAACTAAATAAGGGCTGGGGATGTGGCTCCTGAAGGCCTTGGCTTCCAACCCCATGCCGCACAAAGGAGACGAAGACGAAGAAGAGGAGGGGGAGGAAGGGAAAGAAGTACTTACTTTTTATGTTCGTTTTCTCTTTAAGGGAGGGACTAATCACCAATTTAGAAACTACTAAATATAGTCTCAATTCACACAATTACTTTTTGTTTGTTTTTTTCTTGGTTTTTTGAGACAGGGTCTCACTATGTAGTTGCGACTGACTTGGAATTCACTATGTAGCTCAGGCTGGTCTCAAACTCACAGAGATCCTCCTGCCTCAGCCCCCTGAGTGCTGGGATTACAGGTGTGAACCATCATGCCCGGCTCACAATTACTTTTTTATAATAATTTTATTCTGTCAACTTTCTTGAAGTAGGTATTGTTCATTCTACTTAATTTATAAATGCAGAAGGAAAGGCACAGAAATTGAAAGTATGGCTGGATAGTATTAAGTTTCAGGTCCCAGTAAGATATTTTGTCTCCAGACTCAAACTTTTTTCTTTTTTTCTTCTTTTTTCTGCACTGGGGATTGAACCCAGAGTCTACCATTAAGCTATGTCCTCACTACTTTTTTTTTTTTAGTACTTAAAAAAAAAGTTAAAGTTTTCAGACATAGTCTTGCTAAATTGCATGGGCTGGCCTCAAACTCGTGAACCAGAGTAGCTGGGATTATGGGTATGCACCATCACATTTCTTTCTAAGAGGAGAATAGAGCCTTTTTATGTCCATAATATACAATATATTCAAGAAATAAGAAATATCTTTTTTTCTAATGAAAAAACAATAATAATCTATTCATAAAAGTCAACACCCTAAGCCTGGTGTGGTGGTGCACACCTGTAGTCCCAGCACTCTGGGAGGCTGAGGCAGGAGGATTGCAACTTTGAGCCCAGCCTGGGTGGCTTAGCAATAACCTGTCTCAAAATAAAAAGTGAGAAAAATGGGTTGAAGATGTAGCTCATGCAGAGGCCCTAGGTTCACTACCCACTGCTGGAAAAAAATCTTCTATTTGTGTAGCTTAATTTCCTTGAGAACTGACTGTGTAGCTCCTTACTGAAGTCATGTTTTTTGATTCAAAGGTATTCAAAGACCTGGACGAATGCACTGCTCCAGTGCACACATGGTGGCCAGGTCTCCAGGCCACACGGTGGTGACTGTGAGAGTCAGTGAGCACGAGGAGCGCCTGGAGAGCAGCGCCACATTCGCAGCCTATGAACCCTTGAAGGTGGGGTCTGCCGTAGTCCGGCACTGTCATTTCCTCTCACGGACCCAGCTTTGTGCACCTGGCAGCTTCCTCGCTATCTGCGGTCTCTGCTCAGGATCACTGACAACTATGTCCCCTTACTTACGTACTTACTTATTTAATATTTATATGCTAGGGATTGAACCCGTGGCGTTACGTGTGTGAGGCGAGCACTCCACCACTAAGCTACATCCACAGCCCCACTGTTTTGATTTGTTGCTGTTGTTCGTTTGTTTGGGGGGTTTTTGAGACAGGGTCTCACCATATAGTTTAAACTGACCTTTAACTCACTGTGTAACCCAGGCTGGCCTCAACTCTGTGACTCTCCTGCTTCAGCCTCCCGAGTGCTGGGATGACAGGTGTGCACCGTCACACTCAGCTGCTATTTTGTTTTTAGACCTAAAGTCTCTCATAAAAGCTGAGTCTCAAGGAGTTGACTCTCTCATGCTTCCTGAATTAAGATATTCAGGAACATCACCAAGTGTTAGCTATTCCTTCCTTTCTTCTCTTCCTTCTTTCTCCTCCTCCTCGTTTTCCTCTCCTCTCTAATTCTTCTTCCTCTTCCTCTTTGTCTTCTTTATCTTCTTTTTTTTCTGGTACCAGGGATCGAACTCAGGTCCTTGCACTTGTGAGGCAGGCAGCGGAACCACTGAGCTAAATCCCCTGCCCTCTTCTTTATCTTCTTATTCTGTGGCAATTGGGTTTGAATCCAAGGCCTTCTCTATTTATTTATTTATTTGGTACCAGGGATCAAACTTGGGATCTTGCACTTGCACTTGCGAGGCAGGCGGTAGAACCACTGAGCTAAATCCCCTGCCCCTCTTATTTATTTTTGTTCTGAGACATAGTCTCATGAAGTCACTAAATTGCCCAGCACAGACTCAAACTTATGATTCTCCTGCCTCAGCCTCCCAGAGTGTTGGGATTACAGGTGTGTGCCATCATGTCCAGCTCGCTTTTTCACTGAGGTATAAAATTTACACAGTTATGCATAAAGTACCCTAATCTTAAGTGCAGTTTGGATTTTACATATGTGTGTGTGTGTGTATACAGAGAGAAACACAAAGATATTAAATATTAGCATACTCCCTTTTAAAGGACCCTGAAAGATGACTTTTTGTCCTATGAAGGGAAGTCAGTTATCTTTTTTTTTTTTTGGTTTTTTGAGACAGGGTCTCACTATGTAGTTGATACTGACCTGGAACTCACTGTGTAGCCCAGGCTGGTCTCAAACTCACAGCAATCCTCCTGCCTCAGCCTCCTGAGTGCTGGGATTACAGGCGTGTGCCACCATGCCCGGCAGTCAGTTGTCTTTTATCTTATGTACTTAGGGATTTTCAGTACAGTAGCCATTATTTTTAGCTCTGAGGATTGATTCTTTTTTTGATTTGAAATAATTGGAAGTATTTTAATCTATCTCTTAGTAAGAGCCATGTAGATGCCATTTAGTTTAAATCACATGAAAAGGGCATTTACATTCTCAAATTCACCTATTTAGAATATCTGGCCATTGTTAAAATAAACTGAAGTAAAACAAAACAAAATAAACTCCAACAGCATTTTTTTAATGGTACCAGGGATCGAAATCAAGCCCTTCTGTTTGCAGGGCAGGCAGTGAAATCACTGAGCTAAATCCCTGACCCACAGCATATGTTTTTATGACAATGAAACATCCCACCAAGTTTTTTTTTCCTTTTTATTAAGTTTATTGGTACATTCTAGGTATAAATACAGTTACATTCATTACTGGGATCTTGTACCTTTGCATGACAGGTCTTAGTTCTCATTTTTACCCCTTGTCCCTGCCCTCCCTTCACCCCCATCCCACTAAGTTTTGTACTGGGGATCGAACGCAGGACCTTTCATTTGCAAGGCAGGCAACGGAATCACTGAGCTAAATCACCGGCCCTCCACTAAGTTGGGTTTTTTTTTTGTTTTGTTTTTGTTTTTGTTTTTTGAGATAGGGTCTCACTATGTAGTTGAGTCTGACCTGGAACTCACTATGTAACCCAGGCTGGTCTCGAACTCACAGGAGTCCTTCTGCCTCAGCCTCCTGAGTGCTGGGATTACAGGCTTCCACTAAGTTTTTTAAATTAAAAAATTCAATCATCTGCTACAGATTCAATTCAGTTTTCACTACTAACCTGACCACGACAATCCTGTATTCTTTAGAGCAGGGTTTCTCAAACTAGCCATTACTGGCATTTGGGACTAAATAATTCCTTGTTGTAAGGACTTGTCCTATGCAGCACAGATAATTCAGCAACATCCTAGGCCTCTAGTAACTAATCACCAGCAGCCATACAGTAAGGATGATGTGACAAGTGGCTCAGAATCAAAGTGGATAGAGCTTGGCATGGTTTCTACATATTTGATTCTATCTGGAGCTAAAATTGATGTTTACAAGTTCTTGTTGTTAGATACTGACAAATCCAGACTCAGTGACTCTTGGAATGAGGGATAAATTAATACTAATGAGAGAAGCAAGATAAGTTATTAAGTTTTTAAGCTCTGAGGTATAGTTTGTAAGGAAACAGTGTGTGTTGCATGGCTGTAATCCCAGCACTTGGGAGGCTGAGGCAAGAGCATCACTGGTAGTTGGAGGCCAGCCTGAACTACATAGCAAGATCTTGTCTCAAACAACCAATAAACAGAGCCAAGGATTTAGCTCAGTGGCACTGCACCTGTCTCTGCCTTGCAAGCACAACGTCTTGAGTTCGAGTCTACATACCAAAAAACAAGCAGATAAACAAAAAACCAATAAACAAACAAACATAGGGTTCAAGCTGGGTGTAGTGGTACATGCCTGTAATTCCAGAATTTGGGAGGCTGAGGTAAGAGGATCACCACAGAGTTCAAAGCCAGCCTGAACTACATAGTAAGACTCTGTCTCAAAAACAAAAAAAAAAAATTCATAGGGTTCAGGTATGTTTCATTGGTTTCCTAGTGGATGAATCATTCTATTTGCCAAATTAAATGAAACTGCCCGGATGTGGCTCATTGTAGTTCCATTAGGTTGGTTGGTTATTTTGTTTAATTTATTTTTCATTGTATAGTCTTCTGAATTATTTAAATATTTGCCATGTACATGTGCTTTTCTTTTTTTATATTCCAGGGATTGAACTTGGGACCTTGCGCTTTTAAGGCAGGTGGCGGCACCACTGAGCTAAGTCCCTGGCCCAGTTGGTTGGTTATTTATGGATTTGGTACTGAAAGGGCTGGGATAGAGCTCAGTGGTAGAGCACTTGCTTAGCATGCGCGGAGCCTGGGTCCAATCTTCAGCACCACCAAAAGAGAAAAAAGGCACTGAATATTGAAACCAGGCCTTTCCACTAAGCTACATCCCCAGACCTTTTTTATTTTGAGACAGGGTCTCACTAAATTGCCCAGACTGGCCTTGAACTCACCAGCCTCCTACCTCTGCCCTCCACAGTGTGGGGATTTCAGGCTGCACCACTATGCCAGTTTTTTATTACTTTTATCCTTAGTCTTATTTCATATTTACCGAGTGTCCAAAAATCAGACCTTGGACTGGGGATTTAGCTCAGTGGTTCCGGCGCCTGTCTCTCAAGCACAAGGACCTGAATTCAATCCCCAGTACCAGGAAAAATAAAGAAATAATAAACAGATTAAAGCTAATTCAAACTTGATTTTAAGAAAAGCAGATTTCCCTGAATGTAAAACATACTTAAAGGAAAGAATGATTCCTTTTTCTACCTAATAATTTAGTCATGCATCTTTCCCTTTACCTGCTTTAAAACATGTAAAATTATGTATCTTGGGGCTGAGGCTGTAGCTCAGTGATAGAGCACTTGCCTAGCATGCTCCAGGCCCTGGATTTGATCATCAGCACCACAAAATTAAAATTAGAAGGAAAAATGTTGGACTATACATCTAAGGAAAAGGAATAATCTCTATTGGGAGACCTCCCATGAAACCTTCGCTAAGTTCCTTTTTCTAATTATCTTTTCTGTAAAAGGCTTATATAGCATGTTGTATTATATCTTGTTTTAGTGCTCATACTCTTTGTCTTGGTGGTACTGGGAATTTGTTTTTGTTTTTTGTCTTTTTTTGGTTGTTTTTTGTTTGTTTGTGAGACAGGGTCTCATTCTGTAGTTCAGGCTGTCCCTGAACTCACTACATAGCCCAGGCTGACCTCAAACTCAAAGCAATCCTCCTGCCTCAGCCTCCTGAGTGCTGGGATTACAGGTGTGCACTACTATGTCTGGCTTGGTACTGGGAATTGAAGCCAGGCCCTTTGCACTTAGCTATGTTCCCAGGATGGATGGATGGATGGATAGATAGATAGAGGGCCAGGGATTTAGCTCACTGGCACTGCCCACTGCCTTGCAAGTGTAGGATCCTAAGTTCGATCCCTGGTACCAAAAAAAAAAAAAAAAAAAAAAAAAAAAGATGGATAGACAGATGCATGCAGATACATATATAAATATCTATAGTGAATCTATTTAGATATCAACCTCACTATGTAGCACAGGTTGGTCTTGAATATTGGCCATCCTCCCAAGTGCTAGGATTCCAGACCTGTGCTACCCTGCCTGGTTTTGTTTTGTTGAGATAGGATCTCACTGGATTGCCCAGACTCTCCTGGAGCTTATCCTCCTGCTTCAGCCTACTGAATAGCTAGGATTACAGGCATATACTGCCATGCCTGGTTTATGCAGTTATCTAAATAATACCTTTTAGTGCATAGCATTGTACTAAATCCTGCTGAGGAAGAGAATCCTATAAAAAATAAGTTATCCGTGCATGGCTGGGATAGTGGCACACACCAATAATCCTAGCACTAAGAAGGCTGAGACAAGAGGGTCACCACGTTCAAAGTGAGCCTGAGAATTTAGCAAGACCCTCTCTCAAAATAAAAAGTAAAGGAGCTAGGAATGTAGCTCAGTGATAGAGCTTATCTAGCATGTATGACCCCTGTGTTCAAGTCTCAGGATCACACACCGAAAGGGATAATTCTCTCCTCTAAAAGAGTTTACGTTATAAATAGCAGAGTAGAGAGTGGAGGATAAAGAAGTGGTAATGGTTTGGAAAGACTGGAACCAAATTAACAGATTAGGTAACACATCAGTTTGACTTGAATGATCAGTAGGATCTATGTGAGTACAGCTTTTGAGTAGTATTCCAAGAGGAGGGCATTACATATTTCTCTTAAGCATTTTCAGCATATTCAGATAACTAGTTTTTCACCAGGCATGCTGGCACATGCCTATTGGAGGCTGAGGAGGAAGATCACTGGGAGTTTCAGGCCAGCCTGAACTACATAGTAAGGCCCTGTCTCAAAAACAAAAAACGAAAAACCCCACACAAACAAAAACTACTTTTTCACCTTAAATAACCATTGAGTCGGGGCCAGGGATTTAGCTCACTGGTTCTGCCGCCTGCCTCGCAAGCACAGGGACATGAGTTCGATCCCCAGTACCAAACAAAACAAAACACACAAAAAAAACATTGAGCTAAGCATCGTGTGCACACAAGTAGTCCTAACCTCTCTGGAGGTTGAGGCAGGAGGATCTCAACCTAGCAGCTCAAGACCATCCTGGGTGGTGTAGTGATACCCTGGCTCTCGACGAAGGGAGCGTAGACAACTGCTGCGTTCCCTGATCAGCCTGGGATTGATCTCTTCGACGTCCTCAGGTCCTAAGCCCCACGGAAGTGGCGTTGGTGACGTGGCGCTCTGTGAAGGAGATGGTGTTTGAAGGAGGCCCGCGTCCCTGGATCTTGGAGCCCTCCCGCTTTTTTCTGGAGCTGAACACAGAGAGGAGAGAGAAGGTTGAAGTAACAGAAGTCCGGCTGCCAGCTAAGAGGAAGCAGAACCAGTACATATACAGAGTCCTGTGCTTGGATTTAGGGGAACAAGTAGGACAATGGTCTTTTTTTAACATTTCTTTTAGTGTAATGACACTCCAACTCTTTTGTACTTCCAGCCACTCCTTTTCAGGTTCCAGTGGATTAGTTTATGAATTAGGACAGTTGTAAGTATTGATAAAAGGATTTGAACAGTATTCCTGTTGTTTAAATGCACCCAGTGGTTTCAGTTTGGTTATCTGAGAATTCTAACAGTTCACTAAATAATTTGAGATCACTTTGCAGTGATAAGCTTATTTCACACTATTTTCAGTCATTTTATTACTATCATTCATTTCCCTATTGTCCATATTAGAGTATATTTGGTTTCCTATTTTCAAAGAATTCTAAAAAGAACACCTTTAGAGTGTCTTCTGTGGTTAGCAATCTTGAAGAACCAGTTAAATCTACACTGATGATAGGGATAAGTATTTTCTCCTGTATCAGTTGAATTAGCTTTCTTTTTAGAAGTAGATGGATTTGCATAGTGCCTGTCCACACGTATGGCCCTCCCTTTATCAAAACTAGTAACAGATGAGTTGAGGGGTGGATCCTGTAATCTCAGCACTTAGGAGGCTGAAACAGGAGGATCACCGCAAATCTCAGCCAGCCTGGACTACACAGTGAGTTCTAGGCCAGCCTGAACTGCATAGCAAGACCCTGTCCCCAAAAATTGTTCAAAGGGATTTTCTACAATGGAATATTAAAAATTCTGGCACATTTACAATGGCATGACTGACATTAAATGTCTCTATCAACAGTTACCTCTTGCTCTGGTCTTTAAAGGTTCTCACATTCCGAATTGGAAATCGCCCAGGTGTTCTGAACCCTAGCCCAGCTGTAGAGTCCGTGCAAGTACGTCTCGTGTGCGCCCACCCCGCCAGTGTGTCAGTGACACCAGTGTACACAGTGCCAGCTGGTGCCCAGCCATGTCCTCTGCTGCAGCACAGTGCGCAACTGGTAGGTATGGGGTAGAAACAGCTCCCTTGACATTGCTGTCCTTCCTATTAGAGACCAGGGATCTGAGCCATGGCCCTTATCTCCCTAAGTGAAGGGAACTGTTTCATTTTAATTATTCTCTGACAGTACCTGAGTTACAGCTGTCCACACTCAGCAACATGACCTCCCTTACTGTACTGGAATACACAGCTGGTGATTATGGCAACAATCGCGATCTCTCTGTGTAGCTCCACGATGTTTTGGTGATACCCTTTCCTACTAAGTCTTTTTTTTTCTTGAAGTTTTTCCCTGTGTAGTCCAGGTCAGGCCTAACTCTGTGCCCAGGCTGTTCTCAAGTTCTTGGCCTTCCTGCCCCGGTCTCCTGAATGCTGTGGTCATAGGCATGTACCGTCATGCCCTGCTCCTACATCTCTTCTTAGCATTATTGTTTATTAATAAAATTTACCCCTATTCTAAACCTACTGTGAAGAATAGTGATAAGCCATAACATAACTATTAAGTAAGTAACAGGGACTGAGGAGTAAATGAGTGGTCTGACAGAAACTAGAAATGAGACTCTATAATAAACATAAGAGAACAGAACACATTCTTTACCCTGTGCAGAATCCACAGTAAATTTTTCCCATTTATAAATGAGGAAATTGGGGCTCCTAGAAGTTGAGTAATTTTCCTGAAGTCATCAGTAGATAATAGTATATTCTTCTGCCTCACTCCAAAGCATACTAACATTATACTACATTGCCTCTTCTTGTAAAAGAACAGAATGAGACAGTACAGGTTAGCAACACTTCTTTTCAGAATCAAATTCTGTGTTAAATGTTGTTACTGGAAGTTTTGGAATGATTCGCTTTTTGTTGTTAGCTTTTGTTTTCTTGGTTTGTTTGTTTGCTTTTGGTTTTTTTTTTTTTTTTTTTTTTTTTTTTTTGAGACAGGGTCTCACTTTGTAGTTTGACACTGACCTGGAACTGTTTTCTTGTTTTGAGACTTGATGTGTAGTTTATTTAGTCTGGCCTTGAACTCTCTTGGTCTCATTTGGCATCAGTGCTAGGCTTACAGATGTATACCACCACGCCAGGCGATGAAGAATTCACTTTTTATTTTATTTTGTATTATTTTTATGATTCATTTTTAAAAAATGTACTTAGGGAGCTAGGCATGATGGCATACAGCTGTAATCCCAGCACTCAGGAGGCTGAGGCAGGAGGAACACAGTGAGTTTGAGGCCAGCCTGAACTACCTACCGAGACCCTGTCTCAAAAAAGAAAAAAAAATCATGAGCTGGGGGTGTAGATCAGCGGTAGAGGGCTCGCCTGGCATGCACAAGGCCCTGGATTTGATCTCTAGTATCACAAAAACAATTAAATAAAGAAAAGGTAGAAAGCTCTCAGAGTGGAGAAGAAAACAGCTCCATAATGCAGTCCCATTATCATTCAGTGTCATTTTCTTTTGAAATAATTCACATTTATAGGAAAGTTGCAGATAAAATTGCAACTTTTCCCCCTTGAGCCATTTCAGAGTTTGAAACATGATTCTCCAACACCCCACTTGCATACTTTAGCATGTTTCCTTTTTTCTTGATATATAATTCATACCTCATAAATTCCTTTTAAAGTGTGTAAGTCAGTTACACAACCATCACATTAACTCCAGATCATTTTACTTTGCCCAGAAGGAAATAAAACTTCATACCCTTTAGCAGTTACTCCCCAATTTCTTCCTTCTCCTGCTGCTGCCAGCCACTACTTACTGTGTTTGTTTTCAATAAATGTTAATTTTTATTAGTACATTGTTTGTTTGTTTGTATGTTTTGTTTTGGTTTTTTTTGGTACCAGGGATTGAACTCGGGTCCTTGAGCTTGCAAGGCAGGCCACCGAACCACGGAGCTAAATCCCTGGCCTGTTGTTTTGTTTTTTGAGGCTGGGTCTCACTATGTCATCCAGGCTAACCATGAGCTCCCTAAGTGGCCCAGGATGGCCTCAAATCCATGATTCTCTTGCCTCAGCCTCCTGAGAACTAGGATTACGAGATGTGTCTATCTCTATTTTATATAAATCCCACAATTCGTGTCCTTTGTGTCTAGGCTCTTTCATTTAGTAGGTGTTCGAGCTTCAACCACTTCATAGCATGTACCAATTCTGTATTATTTTTTTAGCTTGAATAATATTTCACTGCATACTACATTTGTTTATTTCTTCCTTTGTAGTTGATGGACATGTGCCTTCCATGAACATTTATTTTTGAGTCAGGGTCTCACTGTGAAGCGCAGGCTAATCTCAAACATGCATTGATCCTCCTGCATCAGCCTCCCGAGTGCAGGGATTATAGGCACAGCTGCTCCACGAACATTTGTATACAAGTTTTTGTGTGAACATGTTTAATTTCTCAAGTAAAGAGGAGTAGAATTGCTGGATCCTATATTGTGTGTTGGTCTTTCAAAGAACCACCAACTGTTTTCCAAAGTAGCTGCATTTACATTTTCCTGAGCAAGGTTTGAGGGTTCAGTTGCTCTACGTCTTTGTTGACACTTGCTGTCTGTCGTTTTGATTCCAGCCTTTGATGAAGATAAAGTGGTATCTTGTTTTGATTTTTATTCGCATTTCCCAGTGATGAGCCATGTGCATCTCTTCCTGTGCTGATCAGCCACTTGCATGTCTTCTTTGGAGAAATGTCTATTCAGATCTTTTGCCAGTTTCCTAATTGATCTGTTGCTATTTTTTAAATTCAGTTGTAAGAGTTCTTCATATATTTTTGTTGGGGGGGAGTCATATATTCTTTTTTTTAAATTGAGTTTATTGGTACAATCTAGGTATACAGCACAGTTACATTCATCGTTGGGATCCTGTACCTTTACATGACAGGTCTTGGTTCTCATTTTTCCCCTTGTCCCTGCCCTCCCTTCACCCCCTTCCCCCCTCCCCATTTACAAACACTTTATTTCCATTTTTTCATTTTCTCATATTTTTTTTCTTTTCCCTTGTTCCCTTTCCCCTACCCTTCCCACTTTCCCTACACCTTTAGCCCTTTTCTTCCTATTTCACACTATTAATTATCCCATTAGGATCTTGTGTACTATTACAGTTTTTCACACCAAAGAGACTATTCGGTATTTACACATGTGTGACTTATTTCACTTGAGTATATCCTCAATATGAATCCATTTTCCTATGAATGACTCTAATTTCTCATTCTTTATGGCTGAGTAGTATTCCATTTTATAGAAAAACTACATCTTTATCCAGTTGCCAACAGATGAGCAAATGGGCTGTTTCCAAGTTTTAGCTATTACAAACTGTGCTGCTATAAACATTGGTGCACATATATCATTGTGATATGTTTCTTTTAATTCTTTTGGAAAAATACCCAGCAGCATATATTCTTTTTTTTAAGACAAGGTCTCACTATATAGTCCAGGTTGGCATGGCACTTGTTATGTAACCCAGGTTAGCCTGAAACTCAGGATCCTCCTCCCTCCGTCCCCTAAGTGCTGGCATTATGGCATGTGCCACCGTACCCAGATTCATTTCATATTTCTAGCACAAGTCTGTTTTCTGACTTGATTTGCAGAACTTCAGTCTTGTGGGTCATCTCTCATTCTTTTGATGACATGGAACCTGAAGAATTTCTAATTTTTTTTTTTGTACCAGGGGTCGAACTCAGGACCTTGTGCGTGCGAGGCAGGCAGCGGAACCCCTGAGCTGACTCCCTGGCCCCAAGAGTTTCTAATTTTGATTATGTCTAATTAATTGATTTTTGTTGCTGCTACTTGTACTTTTGGCATCTAAGAAGCAGGACACAAAGACTTATGACTTTGATTTCTTCTATTAGTTTTTAATGTATATTTGTTGGCATCTGTTTGCATTGTACAGTAACTACTGCCCCCTTGGGGAATCAGTCCTCACACATAATGGTATCATAATCATTATTGCTTCCCCTCTGCCTCTGCACCCACCCCTCTTCCCCCACCCCTGATGCTCTTCCCATTTTCACAAAGTCTGCCTCCTTGTTTCCTGTCATCCCTCTTCTATTTTTCTCTTTAAATTATTTTAAAATATGGAGCACTTCACAAATTTGCATGTCATCCATGTTCAAGGGCCATACTAATGTCCCTGTAATTCTTCCAGTTTTAGTACACGTGCTGGGGGAGCACACACTCTTTTATACATTTTACTGCTCTTACGTAGAAGGCCTCTGATATATTTTGAATTATTTTCTCTCTTTTCCCCCTGTTCTAGGAAATGAGCCCAGGGCCTTTGCCCAGGGCTACATATCCAGCCCGTGTGTGTGTGTGTGTGTGTGTGTGTGTGTGTGTGCGCGCGCGTGCGCGCACGCGTGCACACACATACACATGTATTTCTTTGGGACAAGATCTTACTAAGATCCTAAATTGCTCAGGCTGCCCTTGAACTGGCAATCCTACTGCCTCAGCTCCCGGAGTGCTGGGATTACAGGTGTGCACCACCATACCTAGCTGCTTTTCTCTTTCAAGGTTGTTCTGATTTAAAGATTCCACATGTATTAATTCATTTTCTCCTATGAATAAGTGGGCTGTCCATTTTGTTATATTTGTTTACTTTCTATTGCTAATTACTGAATAGCATAAAGAAAAGAGATGCTAGGCATAGGCCTCACAGAAAATTTTTAGAGAAGGCACATTATGGGGGTGTGTAATGCCCACCTTTATTTTTTAGGACTATTTCTATTGATGAATTATTAATTTTAATTTTACAACAAGATGCACTTAACAAAAATATCAAAATAAAATACTAAATTTTTAACATGTAATGAGCACATAGAATAAACAGTGTTTTCTACAAGTTTGTTTGCTTACTAAATCTAGAAATACTTTTTAAGTATACAGTACAGTTACATTCATCATTGGGATCTTGTACCTTTACATGACAGATCTTGGTTCTCATTTTTTCCCCATACCTCTGCCCTCCCTTCACCCGCTCCACCCTCCCCTATTCACACAGACTTTGTTTCCATTTTTTCCTTTTCTCAGAGATATTTTTTCTTGTCCCTTATTTCCTCTCCCCCATTCTTCCTACTTCCACTACACCTTTAGCCCTTTAAAAAGAAAACATTTAATTTTAAAAATTATAAGTACGCAAAGCTGTAACAAGGCGCATAACGTGGGTAAAACTCACCCACTTACGCTTGGCGCACAGGGACAGACCTTGCCCCTCAAGCAGAGAGCACAGAAACAGCTCCTGAGGCGCGGCGGTGCCCTTACACTCCAGTGTGCTGTGGGCGTGTGCGACCCAGTGTGAGGAGCCGAGGTTCACATCAGGGTGACGACTGAGTCCTTGGGGGACACTTGGCTGTGTGCACGCGACAGCACTGTCCGGTTTAGCGTTTTCTGCAGCAAAGCAGCAGTAATTTCAGTTTCAAGAGGAATTGCATGACGCTGTGTGTCGGTGTGGGGAGCGCTGCTCTCTTAACGATGCCCTTCCGGTGCATGAACATGGGGTGTCTTTCTCCGTAGTTAGGCTAATTTCATTCAACAGTGTCTTCTAGTTTAAAGTATACAGGTCTGGCATTCCTTTTGTTACATTTATTCTCAAATATTTTGTTCTTTTGGTGCTGTCATAAGTGCCATTATTCCTGTAATCCATTTGCAGATTGTCCATTTGCAAATGTACACAAATACAGCTGTGTTTTGCATATTGACCTCGTATCTGCAATGCAGTTGTACTCACTCACTGCAGTAGTTGCTTTGTTTTGAGATTCCTCACGGTCTCTATACACAAAATCATGTTGCTTGCAAATGGAGATAGTTGTACAATTCCCTCCCTAATCCAAATGCCTTTACTTGGCTTATTTGCTCAATTACCCTGGCCAGAACCCCCAGCACAGAGTTCAGGAAAGGCATTACAAGCAGATGATCTTACATTAGTCCTAGTTTTGCGGGAAGTTTGGACTCTGCATCCTAATCTGCTGTTGGCGTCAGACATTGTGCAGATGCTATTTATAGGCTAAAGAAGGTTACTGACTGTTTTTTGTTTTGTTTTGTTTGTTTTGGGGTATCTGGGATCAAACTCAGTACCTGGCGCTTTCGAGGCAGGTGGCAGCACCACTGAGCTAAATCCCTGGCCTGGTTATTGACTGTTTTTAACTATGAAAGATTCTGTATTTGTCAAAGGCTCTTTCTACATCTTTTGAGATGATCATATGCTTTTCCTTATTCTGTTAATTTGGGTTATTTTTTGTTGGGGAGGTTGTGGTTTGTTTGTTTTTGTGACAGGGTCTCACTGTGCAGCTCAGGCTGGCCTCAAACTCATGGAGATCCTCTTGCCTCAGCCTCCTGAGTGCTGGGATTACAGGCATGTGCCACCCCACCCAGCTATTAATTTGGTGTATTACACTGATTGATTTTTTAATATTTATATACAGTGTCTCACTGTATATTCTAGTCTGGCCTTGAACTCAGAGTGAGCCTCCTGCCTCAGCCTCTGAGGTTACAGGCATGCACTTCTGTACCTGGATCTTTGATATAGTTTTAGATAGTCTTAGGGTCTCTGATAGAGTATCTGAGCCATGCTGGCCTCATAAAATGAATTGGAAGTTTTCACTCCTATTTTTGGGATGAGTTTGGAAAGGATTGCTATTCATTCTTCTTTAAACATCCTGTAGGAATTATCGATGAAGTCATCTGTGCTTGGAATTTTCTTTTTTTTTTTCTTCCTTTCTTTTGGTACTGGGGCCTGAACTCGGGCCCTTGTGCTTGTGAGGCAGGCAGCAGAAGCACTGAGCTAAATCCCTGGCCCCTGCTTGGTATTTTCTTTGTGGGAAGTTTGTGTGGCTTGTTTTGATCTTTAATTTTTTAATTTTTTTGTTCTTTTTTAATTACTATTAAATTTTATTGCTTATAGTTTAGTCCGATTTTTTTTTATTTCTAATGAATCAGTTTTGATTATTTGTGTTTTTCTAGGAATTTATGCATTTCATCTAAGCTATCTAATTTTTTTCTGGCACCCAGTGTTTCACTGTGTTGCCCAGGCTGACTGGGCTCCAGCAATCCTCCTGTCTCAGCCTGCAAAGTACTGGGACTAGAGGCACACTCCACAGGCCCGGCTTGGTTATATAATTTGTTTTTCTTTTTCTTTTTTTCCCCAGGTGCCAGGGGTTGAACTCAGGACCTTGCACTTGCCTGGCAGGCACAGTGCCACTGAGCTAAATCCCCAGCCCTCAGTTACAGAATTTTAGGCATATAGTTGTTTGTAGTATTTCCTTATAACCCTGTTCTGTAATGGCTGTACTAATACCTCCTCTTTGGGCACAAGGAAGGCTGTGATGTGAGGAGTAGAAGATTTACCCGGAGTGGAGTAAGTGCACAAGGAAATTTACTGAGACACACACTGTGAGCAACAGCAAGGTAGTCAGGAAAGGGGGCTGGGGGTTGGGTAGGTCAGCCATACCCTTGCTTGTGAAAGGCAGCAGAATAGAGTGTTCTTGTGCTTCTAGGAAAGTTTGAGACAGGGTCTCATGTAGTTCAGGCTGGCCTTGAATTTAGCAGTCCTCCTGCCTCAGCCTCCTAAATGCTGGATTACAGGTGTATGCTGCCACGCCTGGCTCTAATTTACTTTGTAGTTTCTTTCATGGCCTGTTTGTTATTTGGGAGTATTTTAATGTCTATGCATTTATGAATATTGCAAATTTCCTGTTACTGATTTCTAATTTCATTCGTGTTGTTAAAGAACAACCTTTCTGATTTAAATTCTTTTGTTGAGACTTTTTTTTTGGCAGTACAGGGGGTGTAGGGGATCAAACTCAGGACCTTGTGCTTGCAAGGCCAGCACAGCACACTGAGCTAAAATTCCCGGCCCCTATTGAGATTAGTTTTGTATCTAACACATGATCTGTCCTGTGGGATGCTCCATGAGCACTTAGGAGTGTGTTCCACTGTTCTTTTGGGGGTTTTTGTTTATTTTGTTTTTTAATTTCTGTATATGGTTTAACTCATTTATTTAAATATTGTTAAACATGCTCTAAATATATTTAGTATTGGACACTTGCCACTGTGGTGTTAGGGCTCTGGGCAGCTAAGACGCAAGACTCCTGTATTCCAGAATCTTGTCCTGTTTCTTGAACTGAGCACCCTGAGGCTATTTTTGAGGTGTTTCATTGATGTCTGTTAAGCCTCATGGGTTTATAATGCTTTTTGAGTCTTCCATTTCCTTGTTGAACTTCTGTCTGCTTGTTCTGTCCATTAGTGAAAGTGGTACCAAAGGTTCCAGCCATCATTAGTGAATTATCAGTTTCTTCCTTCAATTCTGTCAGTTTTTGCTTCATGTATATCTTGGTTACTTTGTTCATTGCTGGAACAAAATAGCTGGCATTGAGACACTGGGGGAGGAAATGTTTATTTAGCCCAGTTTGTAGAGGTTTCAGTCCATAGCCAGCTGGCTGCAAGGCAGGGTGGCAGGGCAGAGGAGCATCAAGTAGGAGAAACAACTCATGGCAGGACAGGAAGAATGCAAGCAACAGCGAGCAACCTCTGGGGCTATTTGGTTTTCACACATTCTTTTTTTTTTTTTTTTTTTTTTTTTCTGGTACCGGGGATCGAACTCGGGTCCTTGCGCTTGCAAGGCAGGCCACCGAACCTGCTGAGCTAAATCCCCTGGGGCTATTTGGTTTTAAACATTATTTTTTATTTTAATGCAGATTCCTGTATCAAGCCTGAGGGACACAGTCCTGGAACTCACAGTGTTTGATCAACATGGAAGAAAGTTTGATAATTTCAGCTCACTAATACTAGAATGGAAATCTTCAAATGAAACACTAGCCCATTTCGAAGATTATAAATCAATGGAGATGGTAGCCAAAGATGATGGCAGTGGGCAGGCGCAAGCACATGGTATGAAAATTACACATCCTTTGTCTTTCTTTTTTGTCATCTTTTTTGGTTTGTTTGTTTGTTTTTGTTTTTGTCTTTGAAACAGGGTCTTGCTGTGTAGCCCAGACTGGCCTCAAACTCACAGCATTTTACCTCAACCTTCTGAGCGCTGGGATCACAGGTGTACACCACCATGCCCAGCTACAAATCCATCCATCCCTCCTTTCTTTCTTTCTTCATATTGAGGATCAAACTCAGGACCTTGAACTTGCAGGCAAGCACAGGGTTGCTGAGCTACCTCCGCAACCCTACAAATCCTTTCTTTTTTTGTTTTTTTTGAGACGGTCTGACTATGTAGTTGAGACTGATCTGGAACTCACTATGTTGCCAGGCTGGTCTTGAACTCACAGGTATTCAGGCTGGTCTCAAACTAACAGCTATCCTCCTGCCTCAGCCTCCCGAGTGCTGGGATTACAGGTGTGCGCCACCACGTCCAGCTACAAATCCTTTCTTATATTATTCTTTCTAAGTAGTTCACATTATTTCCTTATAAGTGAAGATTTTATTTTAGATTTTATTATATATCACCTTTCTTCTTTTATCTTTGTGTTTTATTCAGAAAACATACAGGCAGATTTCCTTGTTGCAAAGCTAGGACCCAGGGTCTAACATTTATTATGAGAATATAAAATTTAAGTTAATTTAAAGTGTGTTGATGTCCTATTACTTCTCTAACATTTTGGAGGTATTACTATTAGCCAGTGTTTATTGAGTGGCTACCCTGCACACTGCACTTTGTAGGCACTGGGCTGCAGCAGTGGGGTAGATGTGTAGCACCCTTGTCCATGGATAGCCTGCCAGACTGGAAACCCTCTAACTTTGGGACATGGCACATGCAGAGTTCCTGCAGAGCTTCTAAAAGGGGGGCCAGCCCAGGGCAAGCAGAGAAGGCAGCATATTTCTGTTGAGAACCAAAGGGGTGGTTATTTTTGAGGGGGTTGTTTGTTTATTTGGTACTGGGGATTGAACTCGGGACCCTGTGCTTGCGAAGCAGGCAGCGGAACCACTGAGCTGAATCCCTGGCAAGGGTGGTGCTCTGAGGAAAAGGGAAGAATGAGTTGAAAGGACGAGAGCAGAGTCAGCGGGGACAAAGGCCTGGACAGGACAGTGAGCCCACGTGCAGGCGCCTGTGCGCCTCCATCTGTGGCACATCACCCACACCCATTGCTACCATGGGTCACCTGGCCAAGACCAGACTCACGGGCGTGGGGGTCATGAGATGTGATCCACAGTGGGCCTCCACAGACAGACGCTGCGAGGAACGGAGAGGCGGTGAGCAGGGCGACAGAACTCAGGAGGAGAAGCCGGAGGTCACCATGCCCGCGACTGTTAGCGTCTGCGTACCCTTGGGCCATGACAGACTGATGGGCGCAGTGGTCCTCCTGCCTTGGTCCCCCACGCGCGTGCCGGCCTGCCCGGCTGTGTTTGCCGGTCTCACCCCTTCCTTCCCAGCTCCAGTAGTCTATCTCCTCTGTCCTGTGTTACCCCAGCAGCTGCCCAACATCTCATCATCATACTCCTCACTAGCTTGTGCCTGGGCAGTCACTGTGAAATACATTTCTGAACCTCTTTCGATCTCTCTCTGTCTTGGTGGTTTTTGTTTGTTTGTTTGTTTGTTTGTTTGTTTTCGGTACGGGGATTGAACTCAGGACTGTGTGGTGCAGGCAGTAGAACCATTGAGCTAAATCCCCGGCCCTGTTTTTCGTTCAGGCTGGCTTTGAATTCACAGTGTAGCCCAGGCTGGCCTCAGCCTCTTGCATGCCAGGACTATAGGCATTTGCCACCACACCTGGCTAACCTGAGTTTGGTTTTTTGTTTTTTTGTTAGTTTGGTGCCAGGTATCAAACTTAGGACCTTGCGCTTGGGAGGCAGGCATGGCACCACTGTTTAGGGCTAAATCCCCAGGCCTAAACTGAGGTGTGTGTGTTTTTTTAAGCAAGGATTGTTTCTTCCTCGTTTCTGTACCCTAATTATGTGGGATAGTCCCGAACATCCAGAAGGCTGTCAGCAATCTTTGTGGAGCCAGTGAGTGAGTGTAGCATAAGGACGGACAGCTCCAAATTGAAGCGTGGTCATCTCACAGCAAGAATACAATAAAGATTGATCTAACCGAAGGGGAAGAGTCATGCTTGTTAAGTCAGAGAAAACCAGCCAGGTGGTGTGACACTGTGACACACACCTGTCATCTGAGCACTCAGAAGCCTGAAGCAGGAGGATCACTATGAGTTCAAGGCCAGCCTGCGCTATTCAGTGACACTGCCTCAAAAAAAAGGAAAGAGGGAGGGAGGTCAGAGAGAGAAGGAAGGAAAAGTGAATAGCTAAAACAGGATCAGATTATAGAGGACTTCAAATACTAGTTTAAGGAGTTTTAGTTGATCTGATTAAAAAAGTAGCTATTTACAATTTTTTAGTGACTAACATGGCATTTACATGAACAGAAGGGTTTAGAAGAGTAAGATCCCAAGGGACTATCTCTTTATTGTCACTCCTATTTGTAAACTGAAAAAAAAAAAAAAAAAAAAAACTTAATATA